AAACAGAATTTTGAAACTCTTTGAAAAAACAGAAGAGTGTGGTCGAGGAAAACACTGAGCACCGCCCTCTGGCCCCCACATGCACACATGCACGTATACACACACTTGTGACCACAGAAACACATAGTGCATACAAAAAGAAAGAACGAGGGGTTGAGGCTTGGCAGTGAGGAAAACATGGTGGTTTTTCAGATGACCCAAGGTTGGTTCTCAGCACCCAAGGTGGCTCACAACTGTCTGAAGCTCTAGCTCTAGGGGCTCCAATGCTTCTGGCCTCCTTGGCACTTACCCTCACATGTACATTCCCACCTGCAGACTCACACTTACACATAATTAAAAATAAATCTTTAACAAGAAAGGGAGAAATAAAGGAAGAGAGACAGAGGGAGGGAGGGAGAGGGAGGGAGGGAGGGAGGGAGAGGGAGGGATCGAGGGAGGGGAGAGTAGGGCTTTCCTGAGGCCTCAGAGTAGTTTGAACTTCCAGAGAACCTGTTCCTTACAGATTTGCTGCCAAAGATTCTCCTAAATCAGAGAGGTGTCTACATGTGTGGCTAGCAGGCTCCTGAGGGACACCTTCCCACTGGAAGTGGCTCAGATGGGACCTGAAACAATTCCCTGAGGACAGAAGTGGTCTAGACTATCTACCAAGTCTTGTTCAGCTCCAAAAGGCCTCTTCTTCCTTGACCCACACCTATCCAGCCTCTTCATAAGAAGGGGGCTGTTGGTCTCTGAGCTGAGACAGTCCTAGACTCCCTGTGCTTCAAGTGGGCCTCTGTCCACAATTGGTGGACCCAAGAAACCAAGAGGCCATTCTTTTGGAAAACATGAGTTTTCTGTTCACAGAGGTGCCTATCCAGTTCCCAAGCTTTGTTTTTAAATATGAAATAAAATAAAACAAAACAAAACCCACCATCTAGCTGCCTCTCTGAAACACACTTTAGACTAGAAAATCTGAACTGTTGCAGACAAGTTAGGCAGAGCCTCAAGCCCAGGGCCAGGCATCCTGTGTACCTGTTGCGGCCAATACTCAGTACATAAGACCTGCAGAGACACCATGGAAACCATAAGATGGCTCAGGACATCCCAGGGGAGCAGTAGGTACAGATGGGAGAGGCAACCTCAGTGCACTATAAGGCTGGTTTCTTCAACACTAATGAGAACACAGGAGTCATCTCTCTCATGCACATTTTTGTCCATGAGAGGTGTCTTGGCAAACTTGGTCCAACAAACTGGATGCTTGGAAATCACCTACTTTTCTGTGTCCTCACTTCAAAGGCTTCACACACCATCGTCCCCAAACCCCGCCCCGACTCCTACAGAAAGAGAGACAGTGCCAGTGTGCAGATAGCGCGCAACCTACAATGGTTCGTTTCGGGGATGCGCTTGCAATGGTGTGGACGTGACAGGAGTCAGCAGAAACAGTACTTGGGATTTTGAGTCTGCTGGTGATAATGCCATAGAAACACCCGTTTTTCAACGCCGGCCAGCACCAGGGGAAACCACACACTCTTGTGCGCTGCACTGATAAGCCAAGACATTTGGTAGATTAGGCGCACCCGACGATGTCTTCAAGTCACAATGGGTTGTCGGTATGAGCCATCGTTAAAGGGCATCTCTATTTGATGATATTGGTGAATAGGTGGGTGGGGACATCAGTCACCTCCAGGGTGCTTAGGGAGCGAGGGTCTTCCAGCTAGGGATGAAACAGCAAAGAACAGTGCAGAGTTGGCGACCAGCGGTGACCATGGAAAGGAACTGCGTTTACAGGCCCCAGATGAACAAAACGGGTTAAAGCAGAGATTCAAGATCAGGGTGTGATTCACACCAAGCAGGGCTCCAGCGCTCTGTGGAGGGACAGTGCGGGCCACAGCTGCTCGGAGGAGCACTGTTACAGCACATCGTGGGTACGTGCAAGCCTGCCTGGCAAGTGACTGTCAACAAACAGCTGCTCTCATCCCTGGGCCTTAGGACCTCCTAAAGGGGCCACCACACCCCCAGGAGGGTCATCTCGCACCCTGTAAAAGGAGCTACAGTGCAAAGCATGAGGAGCCTCGGGCTCCAGGTGCCACAACTCCGCTGCCATCACAATGTCATGGGCTGCCTTCCCCTAGGGGCCCAGAGGGCCTCGCGCTCACACCTGGGGTGGATGTGGGGGTGTCATAGCGGGAGAGGAAAAGAATGAAGATCGCCCACAGCGGGGACAGACCGTGGACATAACGTGCAAGCCTCACGCCCCACCCCGGAAGCAGATTCGCGGTAGACTCTCGCGCCCGGGGGCGTGACTTCTAAGAGGCCTGCACCGGAAATGAAGTCCCGGGTGCTGCAGGCCCCGCAGCTGCGGCTCTCAACTGAGGGGCGGGGCCCTGTCTGGAGGCGGGACCTTTGCACAGCTGGAGGTGGAGCCACTGGGCCACCGTCTCCGATTTCCGGGGTCGCGGGTGGTGCGTGTGGAATGAGACATCGAGTGGGCGGGCCCTGGGTCGGCCTCCTCTAAATGCAAAAGACGGGCTGGGCCGGGCAGTGACTCCGGGACGAGGCCTGCTTAGGTGGGGCGGGGCCTAGGCGTGTGGGCGGGACCTGGTGGAGCCTACTCTGAACCTGAGTGAGGGCGGGGCGGAACGAGGCGGGGCTTGAGGCGGGGCCAAGACTGAGTTTGCATTGTCTGGCGGCCCCTCTCCTTCTTCTCAAGCAGAAGGCGGAGCCTGCGTTTCACGCGTGGCGTTGTGCAGTTGACCGTAGGGCTGTATTTCACTTGAGTCAGATTTTCATGTAAGTTAGCCTTTTATGAAAGCTTTCGTACCCTTCCTCTCTGAAACCAGACAAAACCACCAGTTTGTTGGAAATTCGTAAAGCTTAGCGCGGACGGAGAAAGGGAAACCTCTCTGAGCTCCCCACGCCAAGCACCTAGGAGATTTTTCGAGGCTGCCTACACGGTATAGAGATTCTTGCGTGATGGGGATAACACTTGTGAATACCTTTAAAATGTCCCGTTCTTGATCAGGGCATGTAGTTCAGTTGGCAGAATGCTTTCCTGGCACATATGAGACCAGGCACAAATAACAACAACAACTTGGTAGTTTTTCCATCTTCAAAAACAAAAACAAAAAAACCCACACAGTTACTGGAGAAACTTTAGGAACTTGATGAGAATATCTTTTAACAAAAACAAAGAACAACAACAAACCGCCGGATCAGCAGGGCATTGGTGGCCCACGCCTTTGATCTCTGTGAATTCGAAGCCAGCCTGGTCTACAGAGAGAGTTCCAGGACAGACAGGGCTGTTACACAGAGAAACCCTTCTGGAAAAAAGCAAAAGAAACAACAAAAGCCTTCTCATTTAAGATCACCAGTGTCAACATTTTAGCATGTTTCTATGTTTACAATTCTATGAATATTTGAAACAAAAATGGGGACGCATTTTAAGTACTGGCTTGCCTTTTGTCGTTTTGTGGCTGGTGTTACTATGAAGGTCTGATGGCAACCCTATTTGTGGCTACACACAGTCCTAACTGGGGACCTCCTTTGTTATTTAACCCACGTCTCACTATTCGGCCTTGGCCTTGCCAGTTTCATCTCTTCCTGTCCTCAGGTCTGTGACATGCCTAGAAGTGGAATGGCACTTGTCAAAGACACAAGTACTAGGTCTTTTATTGTTTCCATCCTTTTAGGGTGAATTTTCTAAATTTAAAAGGTAGCAAATGTTTCAACAAGGGATAAGTCACTTGTATCCCCAAATAGATACCTGGTGCCCAGGTTATATAAAGGACCAAAGCAATGAAATACTTAATTCAATTATGGGCAAAGGACTTGAATTTAGCCAAAGACTACATAGCCGTCTAAGGCCCACGGTTGGCATTTCGGTCGGATGGGAATGGGATGGGTATTCAGTCACTTGGGAGTCAGCTCAGGTGGAAAGGTATCCTGGAGCTCAGGAGCCAAGGACTACCACAGGTTGTTGTAAGCTTAGCAGCTTACAGCCTTGCCTCAGGGAAAGGCTTCCCCAGTATATCTGCTCTGCTCCAGCAGGACAGGGTCTTCCAGCTGGGGATGTTTGCCCAGGGCAGCTATTTTGCTCCTCAGGAGGTTTCTAGGGCGAAGTTGCTACAGTTCAGCTCTGCTCCAGGAGAGTGGAGAGCAGAGAACAGAGTGTAACAACTCAGATCTGCCAAGGGAAGGTTTCCCTAGCAAAAGTGTTACAGCCCTGCTTGCTCTCTCTGCCCAGGGTCGCCTCGGCTCAGTCTCCGCAGCCGCAAAAGAAGATCTTCACCCAAAGCTCATCCAAGGAGTTTATTGGGAGGGAAGAATCCAGGAGAGTGGCTGCCATTCTGGCAGAGGACAGCCTGGTAAGGCGAACAGACACCAGACACAAGCTGAACAGACACAGGGTTTATATAGAGCTTCCAGGGTGGGGATTGGTCAGATTTTACTGCTGAGCTCAGATTGGCTAGAGCTCTGCTCAAGGATTGGTTAGTTCTCTGCACAGGATTAGGGTCACATTTGGCTCTGGTTTCAGAGCCAAAGTGTGTTTCTTTCTCTAGTCCTTTTTAGCTTTTTGGCTCCAATTTTAGGGCCAGGGTGCATTTCTTTCACTGACTCTGATTCCAGAGCCAAAGTGTGTTTCTTTGGCTCTGCTCAGGGTGTGTTTCTTTGGCTGGTCCCTTTTCCCTACACCCACTAGTCAACAAGATGCTCATTGAGGCCAACTAACAGGGGGAAAAAAACAGGCCAAATTCACAAAGTAATGCTTCACACTAAGGTACCAGGTACAGAAATTAAAAATAAATATTGAGACGAAAAACAACTAAAATTCATTATATAAATATATGGAACACAATTTGAAAAAGTGAAAAAATTTAAAAAGTGTTGGCAAGAATGTGGAGAACCTGAAATCTTTTCATGTTGCTAACAGGAGTGAAAAATGACATAGGTGCTATGGAAAACCTTATAACAGTGCCTCAAAAGTTAGAGCTACCATAACTCTGCCATTCCTCTTGTCAGTATAGATCCAAAGATTCGACAGCAGGAATATTGGCAGGCTGACTGCTGTTCACTCCTGCTCAGAGAAGATACAAGGAAGAACTGGAAACATCCCCCCAAATTCAAGGATGGGTGAATGGATAAAGCTGTTGTCATTAGTACACTCAAAGGGACATTATCAGGCTTAGCAAGGAATGAAGTTCTCAAATCAGCTACAACGGAATTGAATCCTGAAAACTTGCTAGGGGAAAGAAGCCAAACACAAAGTATCCGGTCATGGGATCCTGCAACAGGTAAGTCCACAGACTGGAGAAGGTGGTTACCAGGCTCTGGGGGCTGCAGGAGGAGTGGAGTTCTTATTGATCAGAGTTTCAGCTTGGGATAATGAGATGGTGTGGGAATGGATAATGATGGCTGCTAGGCAAGGTGCCTAATGCTGTGGAAACAGTGTATTTTAAAAGCCTATTACTATTCACCAACTTTCAGGAGTCACTCCTTCCACCTTGTTGAGGCAGGGCCTCTATTTCTGCAGCACAGTATACTCCAGACAGGCTGACCCATAGACTTCCGGCTGAATCTCCTGTTTCTGACCCCCATCTCACAGCAGGAGTGCTGAGATTAGACACACACCACCACACCAGGCTTCTATGTGGGTTCGAGGAATCAAACTCAGGTGGTCAGGCTAGCATGGCAAGCACTTTTATCTGCTGAGCCATTAAGCCAGCCTCTGTAGTAACATTGTTACAAATATTTTGACACATTGTGTGTGTGCATGTTTATGTATACGTGGAGGCCAGAGGTAGACTTAAGTTAACTTCCTAAATTATTCTTTGCTTCATTTTTCCCAGGTTAGTTTCTGAGACAGGGTCTCTCATTAAAACTGGAGCTCAACTTTTGGACTCTGAGGAATCTTCCTGTCTCTACCTCCACAGTGCTGGGATTACATGCTATATCCCCAAACCTGGGGGAAGGATAGGGTCTCTTTCTAGGATGCAAATCCCTATATGTGAATCAGACCCATTGGGGTGCCCCTCCAGACTTCTCTGTAATAATCTCCAAGCATGAAAGAGAAGCCTGCCTTGGAAAAGCAATAAATCGTTGGTATCTTTACCTGAACTTGATCTTTTCTGTCTGGCCCGCCAACACATGCACATGCTCGCGCGCGCGCGCACACACACACACACACACACCAACACATACATACACCAACACACCCAACACACATTGCAACACACACATATACACCAACACACACTTGCAAATACACACACATGCACCAATACACCCACCAACACACACCAATACACACACATGCACCAATACACACACACCTACAAAGACACACACACTTTTCTCCTCCAAACACCATACATGTTAATTGTTGGAAATTTTTGCAAACATGGAAACATGAGGAGATAACAAACAGAACCTCCAAGTCGGAGGAGCCACCATTGTCAAGACCTCCTTCTCTATTCACAACACGTATTTAACCCACTATGACCCTATGTCCTGTTGCATTATCTTTATCTCTACTAACAGGCAGTGAGAATCCTCACGTTTTGGTGTTTCTGCAGCACATTTTAACCACTCTGTGCCATCCATTGTTTCGATGTCCCTTATGTACCTTCCATACCTAATTCTCCGCAGTTGTCTGTGTGGGTGATTAACACTCAGGGTGCAGTGAGCATCCTTACTGCTTCCCGTAAAGTGCCCCTACAGTAGTTGTAACTTCACAGAGAATCAGCTCTTTCAAAACTCTACAGTGCATCACTAGCTTGTGACCAGGAAGGGCAAAAATTATTTTAGTAGTATAGCATGTGACAGTAGATTTTGTTTTAAAATTAAACTTTCTGTGTCTGGGTGTTTTGCATGTATGTATGTCTGTGTACCACATGTTGCCTGGTGCCCCATGGAGGTCAGAAGATGGTGTTGGATCTCTGGAACTGGAGTTACATATAGTTGTGAGCTGCCTTGTGGGTGCTCACATGAACCCATGTCCTTTAGAACAACCAATACTCTGAACCACTGAGCCATCTCTCTAGTCCATTTTGTTTTTGAGACAGGTTTTTCTATGTAGCCTTGGTTGACCTGGAAATCTCTGTATGGATGAGTCTGACCTCAAACGTGTAGGGACTCCCCTTCCTCTGCCTCCCCAGTGCTGGACTTCCATGTCAACTGAGCATGTGTGAAGTATCTCACTATAGGGAGAGCTTTGGGGACAGGAACAGCACATTGGAGAACGGTCCTGCCTGAGGCTGTGACCTACTACAGACCCTGCAGGTTTACCTTTGCCAAGCAATCCTGAAGGCAGGTGGCCAGGGAGCATTGGGGCTCCGAGCTTCAAAGCACTTGGTTCCACTCCTTGGTTCCCCCAAGGCTACTGAGCCTGTCACTGCTTGTCCCTATTACTGTCAGTCAGGGCTGGGCTGGTTCTCAGGTCTGGCTTATGCAATGCTCTCCTACACTCCCAGGCCCACCTTGTTCTTACTCTCACTTGGAGGGTGGCACAGGCAAGTCTTGGCTATATCTTGGCTGGTAGGCAAGGCCCCTAAAAGAGTGGGTGTGGCCAGAAGGCATCTTTCTTCATCAGGACAGCACCAAGGAGTCCTGTGAGGCAGTTCAGATGCTCCCCGGCTTGTGATATCTGTCCAACCTGACCATGCTCAAGGCCCTGGACACCCTTAAGAACAAAGTGTGGCCACTTCTTCCACTCCTGCTGGGGCACTCTCCACTCTCCCTCCACAGCCTCCTCTGAGCATCAGACTGAAGGACACACACTCACACACACACACACACACACACACACACACACACACACACACCATGCACCAAACCTGTGGCCCCTGTCTGTTCTAAGATCCTCTGTTTAGGATTTTGAAGTAGGCTGGTCTCTGCTTCTCCCCCTGGTCTCTTCACCACCACCATGTCCCATACCCAGCAGCAAGTCCCCCCAGTGCGGAGACTGCCAGAGAACCAAGGGCCTTGCCTCAATGTTCCTTTGGGGGATGTTTTTCCTTCTTGGAGATCAGAGTCCCGTCTCCCCCTGAGAATGATAATAGCAACTCAGGAACTTGCTATGTAGGCCAGGCTGTTCTCAAATTCAGAGACATCCACCTGCCTCTGCCTGAATGCTTAGAGGGTGGAAGGCATGTGTCACCAGGCTCAGCTAACACCTGGCTCTGTACATGGGGTTTGAAGATCAAATTTGTGTACTTATACTTACAAGGCAAGCACTCTACTGACTGAGCTGTCTTCCAACACCCCCCTCTCCCGGAGATTGAGTTTGTGAGCCTGGTTTGGGTTGTGGCATACCCTTTCCACAAAAAGAAATTGCCTTGTCTTGTTACTTTTTTCTTTATGTGTTTCCTGGAGAATACTTGTTTTCAACAGTCAGAGCCCACCAGCTTATGACAGGAGAGCTTCATGTTCAAGATGAGCATGTGGGATACAGAAAACACACACACACACACATGCACACACATGCATACATACACACACACCTTTCAACATCTGGTACAGACAGCCAGGTCACAGGAATTCAGAATTTGACCCTCTTGATCTCACACATACCTTCCTTCTTACAGGCCAGCATCCTCCGCTACCTTGTTCAGTTACAATGCCCAGCCATGTTCCTATCTGGGTCATTCTCTGAGAATGGCCATGTTGGTGGGCACAGTGGAGCCAGGAAACAGTCGAAAGATTCACTTGCTCTCCTGGGAATCTGAAAGCCACTGCACCAGGTAGGAACAGACCCCAGAAGGACTCACCACCCTCCACTTGTCACACACCGTGGAGGTACTGCTTCCTGTCTAGAGTCTGTGGTGGCTCCCTGTTGTCCTTGGATTTAGAGCTAAATTCCTTAATATGGCTGCAAAGCCATAGGTTAGAGAGGACATAAGCAAAGCCTAGGCTAGGAAGAGGGAGGACAGGATGGGAGCTACTACCTTCAAAGAGCTAGCATGTGAGTCCTTGGCAAGGGGTGGGTAGGTATGAGGGACCCTGTCTAGAGATCAGTGGTGGTTTGAATAAGAAAAATTCCCTCCTCCACAGTGTCAGGCATTTGAACACTTGGTCCCTGGTTAGTGGCGACATTTAGAGGAGATTTAAGTCGTACAACCTAGCTGGAGCGTCTATGTCACTGGGAGAGTATTTTGAGATTAAAAGCCTGTAACTACCCCCCCACCGTGTCTCTCTCTGTCTCTGTCTCTCTGTCTCTGTCTCTGTCTCTGTCTCTGTCTCTGTCTCTCTGCTTCCTGTTCACCACTGAGTGCAAGGGCACTCAATTTGCAGGGACCAGGAACATTTAAAAAAATAAACTAAGTACAATGTCCAGGCTCCAAAGTGTGCATTTTATGGGCAAGGCTCCAGGAAGGGAGATCCCATACTCAAGTCACTTGGTGGGGGAGGCTGGGAAGTCCTAGATCTGACTCTAGGCCAGACTTTCTAGTACCTGAAGGTCTGGGGCTGGGTGGCATCTCTGTGATGCTCTTTCTCACCAGCCCACCATGACCCTTCTTCCAGAGTCCGGGACTAGTCCTCGCCCTGACCCTGGCTGTAGCAGCAAGTCCATGGACATCACCCCAGAGCATGTGCTGTGGCCCCTGGGAACCACTGGCTTCATATGTACGCACTGACAGGTGCTGCAGGCACCGGGGATCACTAGCATCAGGTGGGTACCACCCTCCTGTCCACCCAGAGCTTCTGCTTCCTGACACCTCCAGGGGCTCAGGGGTGGTAGGCATCTTCCTCTGGGCAAAAGGGAACCCAAAGGCACCCTCCAGGAAGAGGCCCACTCTCACCCTCATCTCCTGCCCCCAGAAAGTCTCAGTCTCTTTCCAAGTATTGGAAACACCCAATGTCATGTCCTGTCCCCATCTGCTACCACCCAGCATGACCAGCATCCACCCATCCAATTATGAAATCAGTGCTTCTGTCCTGAGTTCTGCTGAGCCCCAGGGAGGGTGCAGGGAGGATTCCCAGGACAGTGGGGATGGTCCCAACACCCTGGGAACAGAGCAGAAGTGGGAGGAATGACTGAAATGATCTGGGGCAGTTGCCACAGTAAACACTCGCTCAGCATAGTAGGACCTCAACACAGCCCCATCTATAGCAAGCCTTGATTTTGGTGTCCCTGTCCCTGGGCCTCCTGTGTGGAGGTCGTCTGTTGGGAGGCAGACTAGATCCAGAGTGCCTCGGAGACTGGAGGGCAAGCTACCTCAGGATTTAACAGAAACTGAGGCTGAGGTTCGTCCCAGGCCCCATGGGAGAGATGTCAGGCCCCCTCTGCTCCCCGGCCTGCGGCTCCCCCGTCGTGGGCCTGCCTTTCCCACGGGGCCGGAGCACTCCTGGCAGCCCAGAGGTCTCCTGGCACAAGGCGTGGAGGAGGAGTGCGGTGGAGGGCATCTGGCAGCTAGGGGTGCGGGGGCTCCTGGCAGCAGGGAGAGGCTGGGGGAGGGGGCCTGGCAGGAGACGCAAGGGGCTCCCGGCGGCGGGCCGCCCGCCCAGACGCGCTGCCAGGCTGATTAGCATGGGCGAGGGGCGCTGGCGCGGGGGCGCCGCCGGCCGAGCTGGCACGTCCCGCGCGGGCCCAGCTGGCCGGGCCGAGACACAAAGCGCCTCAGACGGCGGCGGCGCTCGGCCATTCACGCGCTGGGGCGGCCGGGCGAGGGGTTCCCGCCGCCGGGGCGAAGAATAGCGCCTGGGCCAGGCGGGGCTTGGCCGCCCCGCGCTCCTGACCTTGAACCTTTGTGACTGGAGCGCATGCAAATCGCGGCGGGGCCGCGCCAAGCCCCGAGGGCGCTGCACCTCCCGGGGTGTCCCGGGGAACAATGCGCCGCTGTCCCCGCGCTGCGCCGCAGGCTGGGAACGGCTCGGGCAGTGCCGAGGGGAATGCCGATGCCGATCCGCACTGTTCCCTCGTATGCGTGGCCGGCTGCGTGGGCTCAGGGCGGGGACTCAAGCCCACTCTCCGCCCAGCTGGCCGCTCAACCCTGCACGCCTTGTTCCCCAGCGCGCATTGCGCGGGATCCGGAGCAAATCCAAAAGTTTGAGACCAGGTTCTGCTCCTGCCCTGTCCACTTTCATTTAATAAGAATGGTGTCTTAAATTCTCTCAATGATCAATAAGAAGATAAAGACTGGGGCCAGAGAGATGGCTCAGATGGTTAAGGCATTGGCCACCAAACCTGGGAACATGAGTTCGAACCCCGGGACCCACAGGGTGAACTCCTGGAAGTTGTTCTCTTGACTTGTACACACAATGAGCACATGGGCACACACTCTTAACAAATGAGAAGGCTGTTACCTACCTCATACAGAGAGGTCTTGCCTGGGTTCTGCCCATATTTTCTCCTTAGGTCTTCCTCTCTCTTTGCACTCAGTCTTGGTTTTGAGGCCCAGGTTAATGTTCTTTTGGGCTGTGCCCTACATGGAGTTGTGAGGGAGGTCCTGAGTACAAAAGTTAACGGGTTCTTCCCAGTCCTTAAAGTGGCTACACAGAGAACAGACTTCACCAGAGCTGCAGAGCATAGCCCAAGAAGCTGTACCAAGATCCCCTACAAGCTCTACAGTAGTTTCCAGGCAGACTGTTGTAGTCACGTGACTAACTGGAGGACGCCTTGCCTGATGTTCATGCACACATTCCTGGCCAAGAGATTCCAGCATATTCCACTGATTTGAGATCAAGCCTCAGTCCAGCTCATCCTACAATTGACTGGTGACCTGTCACTTGTCCTTCAGAAACTCAGTGCCCTTGTCTGGTAAGGGTCTGAGAGCCCTGCCTGCCTATCTTACAGAGACACAGTGTGAGGACAGGCTCCCTGGGGCTACCAGGCTGCTCTTGGAGTAAGGTCCTGGTGTGCACTTACATGTGGATGGGAGTATGTGCTGGGGAGTCCTGCTCTGCTCTGCCATGGCCAAAGCAGGGTAAGAGATCAGCAGCTGCCCTTGAGCAGGTCTCAGCTTCCCCAGGATTGAGTGAGGGTTGCATAAAGTCTGAGAACCCTATTAACTTTCTTTTCTCTCTCCCTCTCTCTCCCTCTCTCTCCCCCCTCTCTCTCTCCAGGATATATACTGTTACTTTTCTATGGCTGTGGTAACAAAACAGCATGACCCTGGCCATGTATAAAAGAGTTTATTTGGGGCTTATGGCTTCAGAGGGTTAGAGTCCATGATGGTGAGTGAGGGTGTGAGATTCAAGGCTAAGAGCTCACATTTCAAAACCATGGTCATCAGGCACAGAGCACACTGGGAATGGCAAGGGGCTTTTGAAACCTTAAGCCCACCCCCCAGTGACACACCTCCTCCAACAAGGCCACACCTTCTAATCCTTCCCAAAGAGTTCCACCAATTTGGGACCAAGAATTCAAACATATGAGCCTATTGGGACCATCCTCATTCAAACTGCCATCCAGGGCCCCATTATCTGACTCTAGCTGACCTGAGAATCTCTATGTAGACCAGACTGGCCTTAAAGTCAGAGATCTGCCTGCTTCTGCCACACAAGTGCTGGGATTAAAGGCGTGCACCACACATGGCCCTACGAGCTTCTAGGGACGGGATTGCACATGTCAGGTCACCTTAGTGAGGGCATTGTGTCCTGGCTTCCTGTAGATGATTTGCTGAGGTATCCTTGGGGCCAGGGATTATGAAAGACTCATGTGTGGGCATGGCCCTTGGCGGGTTCAGGCTTTGCGAAGGGGCAGAAGAGGTGGAGAGGAATGGACAAGGGCAGCTAGTGAGCTGAGGAGGCATGGTGCGGTGGGGAGTGTGGCCAGCACTGGATGGATGGCCCAGGAATTTTCCTGCAAGGGTCAGTAAATTCCACCAAGATAGAAGAGAACTGAGGATGCTCCATCTGAGGGGAAACTGCAAGGGAGCACAGCGAGCATTCTAGAGGAAGGAGGAGTACTTGTGAAAAGAGGATCTGTAGGAAAGGGAACACTGCACAAACCCAATCCCAAACCTAAGCTTAGTCCTAACCCTAACACTACAATGACCCTAATCAGACCCTACCCAAAACCATAACCCTAATCCTACATCTAGCCCACACACTAAAACTAGGACTAAGACTAACCATAAACCAAATGTATCTCACACCACAATGCTGCATCAGGCACTATTCCTAAATTCAGTTCTAATCCTAACCTTTGCTGTGACCATAATCATAATCCCTGAGCTCTAGGTGTAAGTTTAGACCCAATGCTAATCCTAGGACTACCTCTAACCTTACCTTAAACCTACAACTAACCACACAACAATCCTAGCCATAACCTTAGCCCAGGCATCAATCATAATCCCAACCCTAGTGCTAACCATAACCATTACATAAACCTAGCTCTAACCCTATCCATAACCTCAACCCCAGAACAAAACAAAGCCCTGAACATGACCCAAACATTGGCTCTAACCCTAGTCTTAATGCTAAAATAAACTCCAAACGTAGTCCTAACCTAAAGTCAGCCCTAACCCTACCTCTAACCCTAGCACAGGGATTGGGCGCTTGGATGCCTGGAGATCTCACATGAGGAGGAGCTGGGTTATGTGACCCAGGACATCGCATAGATTCTGAGGACTCCAGTGGTCCTGACATCATGGATGGAGCCTGTGTGGAGTCAGCACTGGGCTCTGGCAAGGCCCTAGCTTCCATCCCCAGCAGTGCTAACAAGGGTCTGTGGGGCTCAGGGACAGGACAAGTTTGGGATAGGAGACAGAAAGCAAAAGGGACAGGTGAGTGGCTTGCTTCCCTGGAGACATGAGTTCAATCTCAAGAGTCTCAGCTTTGAGGAGCATTTGGCCTCTTGGGAGACAGGCGGTGTGATTCTGATTCCCAAAGCCAGAGTCCGGTGAACGGCACAGCAGTTGCGAGCACGATTCTGTCTGTGTCCTTGTGACATCCAACATAGCTGGCGTATAGAGCATAGTCTGTGTAGGGACTGCTGTGTGCCTGATTGGTTCAGGTGCCAGGCTGAGTGCTCACAGTAGGCACAGCATCAAAGCAACAGGGAGCCCCAGTGTGGCTGGACACATGTTGCAACCTGTCTAGAACTGAAAAGCATCCCCCAAGCATGGTTAGGGGGTTGGTCGCTCAAGCCCTCAGTGTGTTGACAGGCTGGTTCATCTGGAAGGTAGATAGAGAGTGGAGTTGAGTTTTGGATTCGCAGGTCCTTTGTCATTTTAATAGAAGTGAAATTTGTAAGCCCCTCCCCAAGACATTCACTGTAAGCCAGCCACTAAAGGGCTGAGACCACGCTGTCATGACAGCTGCCCCAATGCTCCTTAGTCTCCTGACACTTGAGTTTTCACAAGGCAGAACTGGATGGACCCTGCGCATTGCAACCTCCAGTTTCTAGCAGATAAAGTGGCAGCCACGGCCCTGGGGGGTTGGTCTGAAGCCAGGACAGACTAGCACGAGAACCAAGCCTCCCGCCTTCTAGGTCTTTCCACTACTTCACCGGATTCCTCAGAAATTAGCAATGGAAAAGTCATCCCACACTCCTGCTCCGGGAGAGTCACTCTTTCCATCCTGGCTCCGGGTGAGCACCTGGGGTGGGGTGGGGGGGAACCCTGGGGATCTCATGCAGAGGAGCTGTGTTATGTTACCTGGACCAGTTCACGTAACACTTTGGGTCTTTGACACCACTGGCGAGCCTTATGGAGGCAACGGCATGACATCTCCCTTAGCTGCCACACCATAGGCCTGGGTCTCTGGCTCAGTTGTCCCAGGGGTAACAGCAGCAAGGCCTGGGAGCCTCTCCTATCCAGGAGAGAGTGCAGGAAGCATGGACACAATGTTTTGCCCTTGTCAGGAAAGACTAAGAAACCAGTGCTGTAGCTAGTGAACCGTGATTAGCCCTAGGCAAGTGGCTCACCTCCCCAGCTTTGATTTACTCCTCTGTAGACTCAGATGACAGCCATAGCTTGGTGAGGAACTAGTAGGCAACAGGGTGAGGGTCTGGGATGGCATCAGGCATGCAGTAAGTGTTCCGCAAATGCCAACAGCTACCTAACACACAGTCAGATGCCAGTCTCCTTTTCCCTTCCTTCTTCCTAGTATCTGTACTTCCTATCTGGCATCTGTGCCCCTTTCAGGGGACAGAGAATCAAACTTGACAGATAGTGACTCTAGTATTTGCAATCCAGCATGAAGCAACAGGCACTGGTCCAAATAGTCCAGAGCAACTTATCCAGAAGAGTGTTTTGTGGTGACCCAAATGCTCTTTTTGCTGCCCCCAAAGCAGCCACTATCAGCTCATATGACTACTAAATCCATGAAATGTATGACCAGGGAAATTAATTTTTTATCTTATTTCATTTCACTTTTAACCAAAATTTGTGTGTGTGTGTGTGTGTGTGTGTGTGTGAGTGAGTGTGTGTGTGAGAGAGGGGGGAATAGGGGAGGGAAGAGCAAAGATTGGGAATGGAAATGGTGTATGTGTGTACTCGTGGGCCAGAGTGCACATGTAGATGTCAGATGACAACTTTACAGAGTCGACTGAGGCAGGGTCTCTCCTGTCTTCCTGCTTCTAGGCTACACTCCAGCCTGGCTGACTCCAGAGCTTCCCGGTTATGTTCGTCTCTGCTTCCCAGCTTACCAGGGGTGTTGGGATTACAGATGCATGCCACGACATCCAGCTTTGTGCATGGGCTCCAGGCCATCGATCTCAGGTCATCAGGCTTGTGTGATAAGTGCTTTCCTGCTGAGCCATCCCCTCCACCCTCATTTTACCTTAATGTAAATCACCATCACACTGAAGTCCACCTATGGCCTGGCCAATAGCTACCCTACTGAACAGCACAGGTACAAGTTCAAGACCATCCCTTCCCAACACTGATGACAGTTTTCATTTCCTGTTGTTTCTAGGATGGCACACACCTTAGACATCTTTCCTTGGAAGCACAGCTTGAGACAGACTAGCCTTTGGGCTTTTGGTCAGGGGTGAGAGTCCAAGGAAAACCAAATCAAGGATGCTTTATTAGGTCAGTCCCTGAGGCAGGAGGATTACCCCTTATATTGGTTATTTTTAATCATCTCTCTGTCCAAACATCCAGCAAAAAGCAACTTAAGGAGTTGAAGAAATGGTTTAGTCAGCAAAGTGTTGGCCACAGAAACATGAGGGCTTGAATTCAGGTCCCCAGAACCCATGTAAAAAGCTGGGGATGGGGGAGGGTAGAGAGACAGCTCAGAGGTTAAAATTTCTCCCAGGGGACCCAAGTCTGTTTCCCAACTCCTGTGCCTATATGGCTGACTCTAACTCCAGCTTCAGGAGATCTGATACCTTTTGAAGTCTGCACACACCTACATACATATATCCACATACAAAGCAAACAAACAAATACCAATGGGGGTATGGTAGTTTGTGCCTGTAATCCTACCCCTGAGGAGGCAGACACAGGAGGATACTAGTGATTTGCTATCCAGTTAATTTAGCTAAACTAAAAGCTATGGGTTCAGTAGGAGATGCTGTCTCAAAAAAGTAGGTGGAGAGAGATTGAAGAATACACTGATGTTGACATACACATACATGAACACATGTAAACACATACATGAACACATGTACATACACATTGACATCCCTACAGTTCCATGCTGGGTGAGTCTAAGTGCAGTGTAGATCCTACCAGCATTTCAGTTTTGTCTTTGGAGGGTCACCAGGACGGGAAGTCAGAGATGGCCACCATAGGCCCAAGGGAAGAAAGTCTAGTTGCACTCGGCCCTCACTAGCTAAAGTCCCTGTGGGACTGATTGTGGAGGTTGTAGCTGGGTTGGGATCGAAAGGCCTAAGTGAGCATGAGCTGTCCACTGCAAGCCACTTCCTTCATCAGTCTTATCTGCTTGTGCCTCTGGGAGGCACTGTGCCACCTTGGAGGTAGTGACCAGCAGCTAGAGTTCCCATGATGACACCAGATCAGAGGCCGTGATGGACACCATATATTCCAGACAAGCAGCTCAGTTGTTCTGGGGGAGTGGTTGTGGGTGCCTGTCCCTTTATTCCAGGAAGAGTCAATCTAATGGCTGAGCTGCAGGACTCTGCCCCCCCTTATCACATAGGGATCTTGTCTGTTGACTGGGCTGTGGGGCCCCGGTTCTCTGTCTCGGGGATGCTGAGCTCTCTGTCTCATTACTTTGGCTACCCATGGTTGCTCATACCTATCACTATGCTGAAAACAAGAGGCACTGGTGTGAGTTCCTGGTTCTGTGTCTGACTCATCCCTGCCCACAAGCCCAGCTCTTCTTGAGAATCAGGCTCAGCATCCTATGTGTTGATTTTCGTTTCTGCCTCTCTCATTGCAAGAACCAGGAGGCCAGGATGATCAAGAGACATTGTGGACTAGACACCCCTGTCACATCAGAGTGTGTGCTTTCCTCATGACACTTAAGGTTATCTAAATTCGAAGCTCATCTTTTGTCATCTATAGTGGAATTGAGCACACGAGACACATCTGTGTGGCTGTAGTTGGGACCTCAGATGAGTGGACTGACTATAACCTGGTAGATAAATCCCCCTGCTAGAACTGGAACCTCACATTCAACAAAGCCTAAGGATGTAGAGATGGCTAGAGGAGCCAGTCAATAGTAATTCCTGGACCTAAGTAACCCTCTTGGTCCTTGCAGTGGTTTGATTGTGAATGGCCCCCATGGGCTCATATGCTTGAATATTTGATTCTCAGTTGGTGGAACTGTTTGGGAAGGATTGGGAGGTGTGGCTTTGTTGGAGGTATGTTGGAGGTTCCCAAAGACTCATGTCAGTCCAGTGTGCTCTCTGCTTCCTGCTTGTGATTTCCATCATGCCTTTGCTCCATCATCATGAACTCTAACCCTCTGAAACTGTAAGCCCAATGAAATGCTTTCTTTTATAAATTGCCTTGGTCATAGCATTTTATACAGTTCTTTCGCATGAGGACACAGTTGCACAGGTCAAGACTTACTTCCCACCCTTTGGCATCCACAATATTGGCTGTTGCTTACTGTTCACTGAAGCTTGAAGGGATGAGCCAATGAAGTCTGAGCACCTTGTAAAGTCCACAGAGGCGGTGCTGGTGTCCACCTCACCCATTGCTGGTCCTCCAGCCTCAGAAGACGAGCCTGAGAACTACTAGACCACGAAAGAAGGTCATGTCACAAAGGATGTGTTACCAAATAACAAAGTGAATTTTAAAGCAAAGTTAAAAAAAGATTGCTGGAGTAATCACTGGAAGAGGTGGTTCTGTAATCAGAATGGAGAACTAGGAAGAGGTGAAACTGTGGCAGAAAACCATAAATATATGAGGGAAATACATAGGCAACAAAAGGTTGGGATTGAGAAATACATGGCTAAGCAATGGAGCTTATTCAGGGTCTATAGAAGAAATAGTGAGCATGTAAATGTAGATTCACCTTCCACTGGGGAGGTGGGTAGCAGAACCAAGACAGTGGGGGCGGGGCTATGTGACTGAATATGCAAGAATGTCTCTGCTGGCCACTAAGATGTTTCTAAAGGACTCAGGAAGGAAATTAATAAGAGACAAAACTCCAATTGCCAATGTAGTTATGATAAAGTCTAGTTTCAAGGGATACACATTAAAGCCAGGATAAAGATTGACACTGAAACCTCTTCGTGACGAAAGACAATATAAAAGTCTGGAGGAAGAGATGTCACAGACTTGGAAATAACCTTGCTGGCTGTCCTGTTGGGGCGCTGACATCTCTCCAGCAGACCCTCTGGAAATGCTCCTCTTCCATGGGTGTGTTCTTACTCTACACCACTGGCAAGGCAGTTTCACAGCTCTGCAGAAAGTGCAGCTCTGGAAGACGGAGGCAGCTGCCACCTTGGCCAGAGCAGCAAGTGAGTTTTTCCATCAAGTCCCAACCCTATTCTCTTCTGTGGAGAGACTGTCACCCCTGACAGCAAACCTTCTCTCCCTCCAGGAAAGTAGTAGGTTCTATGGGTACATCAGGGCAGCCTATACACTATCCTTCCAGTGCCCCTATGAACTGGTTCCAGCCTCTTCTTGGTTCCCTTATTGATTAATGAATTTAATCAAAGCTTAGGTGGATTTATTTTCTATTTGCATGAGAATCACGATTTGACCTCTAAAAATCACTCTGCATCTGTAAGAATTTGCATTCACAGCATGCGGTATAGAAGTGCAAAAAGAAAAGACAAAAAACCCAATTAACCACAAGCCCAGTTTCTAAACAAAAGAAATGGCCTGCCCGGACGAGGAGAGAAGGGAAATCAACACTAGGACTGGCACACTCTCAGCAGGTCCCTACTGGCTCACACTCTGGTTTCTGCTCCCAAGGGGCTGGACTGGGGCAGATTTATCCCCTTCCTCCAGCTGGCTCTCTTAAGAAGGGCCTTCTGGGCTGGTTTGGGGATTGGAGGAGGCTGTATGGGATATTAGCAGTAGCCAGGAGAGGGTGATGGGGGCTGAGGTCTGGGTGTTATCAGACTGATCCTTGAGAGGGGGGTAGGTGATGACTTGAGTATATGGAAGTGGTGACCCAGGATGCCATTGTCTACACCTCCATTTTGGACTGTAACTCAGTCTCCCGTGTCACCAAGTGAGTCGAAGACCAGGGATCAGCAGGTAACCCTTAGTTCTAGAGTATCTAGAACTCCAAGAAGCACTCATGACAGGGAGTGGGACCCTGGGGTGGGGTTGGAGTAGGGCACACTCTCATTCCTAGATGTGTGACAGCTGTAATCCCAGGATGCTGGAGGCTGGGTGGACCCAGGTCTAATGGAGCCAGCCTGAGGTGCTAACATCAGGGTTCTGGGAGCTCAGGCCTCCTGTAACTCTCTGTGTCCTCTCCCCACATTACAGGGGCTGGGTATCATCACGCAGCTCTCCCCAAGGCCTATGTGATCCATGAAGTGTGGGGCTGAATTGCTCAGCAGGGACAGAGGCAGGGGCACACAGAAGGGGGAGATTTGAGGCTGGCTATAGCAGGTTGGAGCTCGCTGCTGACCCTGACTGGGGCCATCACGAGGAGAGCAGCACCTATCCCAAGCGAAGCGGTCTAGAATACAGGTTGGGGTGGCAGGATGGGGAAGTAGCTAGGTCTGGAGGGAGGTGTGGCCTCAGGAGTGTGTCCCTTACTAGGCTGCAGAGGGAAGGGGGAGGCAGGAGGTGCTGGGAAAGGAAGGTGGAGGAGGGAGGTAGGCCCTGGGAACAGGCGTGAATGTGCAAGGGAGGACATGGGCTAGGAGGCTTGTGGCAAAAGTGGAGAAGCTGTGTTGAGGCTGGCAGGCCATGCAGCGACTTGCCCAAGGCAGAGGGACAGCCCCCCCCCCAACCGTGACTCATCTGTGTGACAATCTGATGGGTTGTGGCAACCGTGGGAAGGCGTCTGGAAGGACACCCGAGTTCCCCACATGACAAGTTCCAACAAGGCTCAGCGGAGCCGCTTCCTGACCGAGGGCGCAGTGGCTGCTGGTCTCTGCGGGGACAGTAGCATGCCAGGTCTAACTCAGGCGTGCCCTCCTGGAGACAGGCAGAGTCCTGCAGAGTGCTACCTGCCCAGGTCCTCCCTGAGGGTTCCTTTGCTAGGATTGCTCTGGAGTGATTCTTATCGTTGTGGGGGGCTCGACGGTCTCCCGAGCTCAAAGGCTTCTGACCTGATGCTACATATGTCCTTAGAGCACAGGGGTTCACCCCTTGTGGAATGTAAGGGCAGGCTACAGAAAGGCCTGGGTGGAGTCTCTTCCGCCATCTCCACTGTCACCGGTGTGATTTATGTGTTGGCCCATTTATTCCTGCATCTGCACAGTCATTCCAAGGTGCTGGGTCCCCAGGTACCTTCTGCCCTGCAACAGGGAAGGCTACCCGCCAAAGCCTAAGAGGCAACAGAGCAGGGGAGAGGAGAGTCCCAAACTGGTGAAACCCTAGACTGGGTGGTACCCTGGGTGGTGCCCTGGGACAACTGAACAGAGCTTTGGTGTGGGCAGGGTCACAGCTGGACAGAGCCCTGAGCTGGGCAGAACCTAGGGCTAAACTGGGCAGATGGGGCTCTGAGCGAGATAAGCAGAGGCCTAAGATGGCTGAAGTGGGTGGGACCTTGGCTAGGTGTGGCGGGTTGAGCTGGAAGGAGCCTTGGGAGAGCTGGGCAGAACCTGAGGCTCTGCTGAGGGCTATCGGGAAGGCCCAGGTGTGAAGGCAGAGTGGAAGGGACATGTGGTCAAGGGCTTACGGTAACGCAGCGGATGCGGAGAGGGGCATGAGTGGAAGGGACCCAGGTGACCACAGAGACTCAAGGCCAGGGTGAGGGTGTGAAAACGGGGAAGCTTCTAGCAATCCAGGGTGGGTGAAGGGAGGAGGTTGTGGCCCTCTGCATTCCAGACAGTGAGAAGAGCCTCAGCAGAGGGCCACGAGCCTCCCAACCTAGCCACAAGCCTTCCTCTAGCATACAGCCCCGACTGACTGTGGACACGGCAGGGTAGTCCCCCAGCTGCCGAAGCTAACCCGGGCACAAGGCCGTGGTCCCTGGGTCAGGTCTGCCCAGCGACTGATGTAGCAGGAATAAAGCCAGGGCCTCCTATTGGGCTGAGGACAGCTCTGGGGTCATTTTGGAGGGTCAGTTCCATGGAGTCCATCCAGCATCCATCCTGCTGCTATCCCTGACCATCTCCCTGCTCGGGACATCACTGGCTCAGTCACACTATGTCACACTGTGGCTGCATCAGCTGTAGCCCCAGCTATCCTGCTGGAAGATCATCTAACCCTGAACGGGGAAGGTACAAGAAGCCATTGAGTCTTGGAACCTGTGGGGGAATAGGCAAGGGGCAGACAGTGTCTGTGGGGTCTGGGGGCTCTGATGCTACCCCCCTGGTAAGTATTGGGTCCCTAGTTATTGAGTGTCTTCCACCAATGCAATAAGCCAAACCAAACCAAATTAATAAGACCAGATTTTGATAAAGAGAGCAAAGCAGAGTGAAGCAATTCCTGGGTGACTCTCTGGAAGGCAGGAGAGAGATCATGTGACAGGTCTGGCGACCAGGCCTTAAGTACCCTGAAGGCATGGTCTTGGTCAGCTCTGGGGAAGAAAAGCCGACCCTTGATGGGCTTTCTGAGGGGTGGGGTCTGGAATGGGAGCAGTGAGACTGGAGAGGAGATTCCCAGCACACACATCCCCCCTTGTTCTGGTCACCCTCGATGCTCAACTATAGGCCTCCTTCGTACAGGTCCAGACCCTACTCCTTTGTATATCTTCCAGACCCGACCGGCCTCAGCATCATTCTGCCACAGTTCCCTGCTGAGACAAGATGGCACAGGGTCAGCCTTCCTGAACCCCAGGAAGGCTTGGGGTTACCCACAGACCAGCCTGCTGTGGATGAGTTCCTTCCTGCTTCCATCTTCCCACAAGCCGGCCCTGAAGCACAGGTGCTCACATGTAAGCTGGGCTCTCTCGTGGGAGGGGATTCCAGCAGGCAGGAGAAGGGAGGCTGTTGCCAGTGCAGAGTGTCTGTCCAAGGGCAGGTGGGGACAGTGCCACAGGATGCTGGGAGGGCTGTCTCAGCTAAGGGTGCTTTCTTCCAGTGCAGTTGGCTCGGTGCCCAGGGCGCATCTGTCCCAGTGGCAGCGAAAAGTGCACTTCCCACACTCTGAGAGATGCCCCTGGGGGTGGGGGGAACTCATGTGATGCCACAGGGCTGTTAGCACCTCACCCAGGGACACAACACGACTGTCTTCAGTGCCCTGAAAGACCAGATGGATGACAGTACCCCCAGAATGCAGATCTAGGGTCCTGCCTGCCCCATCCCCCCTCCAGTCCACAGCTTGCACCCCAGAGGTTAAGAGACAGGGTGTGGCGGCTCAGCCCTGACTGGCCTAGTCTAAACTGATGTTCCGCCAGGGAGGCCCTTTGGCTGCCACGAGCACCTAAACAGCCCTGCCTTTGTCCTAGCAGCCACAGGCACTGTTTGCTCAGTGCCCGGCTTGTTTTTCCCAGGCCGAGCTGGGCAGGCAGAGGCCTGGGAGCCATGGAAACAGCACAGGCCACCTGTCCTGCCCAGCCCCACTTTCTGCCCAGTTGCTCTCTCAGTCTCTTCAGACCTCCCGCTGCACTGGCCCCGTCCCAGCGGCCCCGTCCCACCCCCTCACGAGCTGGGCCGGCTGCAGAGACAACCAAGGGTTCCAGGTGCCCAGCAGTCACACAGACCCTGGGGTCAGCGCGGGCATCTTCAGCACCCACGACTTCTGCCTGCACAGGCAGCAACTCAGGACTCTGGCGCAGAAGCGCGTGCGTGCGTCCCGAACCATCAACTGACAGCTCTGTCCTGTTCTGGGGTTCAAAATTCACTAGGCTTTTTGTACTCAGGAGGAAGGTTGTAGGGTTCATCAAGGGCTCCATAGCTGCATTAAAACTGCTACACCAGGGGCTGGAGAACACTGGTTGCTGTTCCAGAGGACCCAAGTTCAACTACTAGCCCCTATGTGGTAGCTCACAATGGTCTGTAGCTCAGTCCCAGGGGATCTGGCGTCCTCTTCTGGCCTTGACAGGCACTGCACACACATAGTGCACAGATAAACATGCAGACAAAATCATTCAAACAAACAAAACCCTTCCACCCAGGCCTCTAATTTTCTCCTGTCCTCTTGGAATTCTTAACCATTCATTAAAGTAAGTCTGAAGCCCCAGGCACAAAACATATCATTCTCGTCCCCAACAATACCTCCTTCCCACTAGTGTGTCCTAAGTTATTCTCTGTTAAGTAACCAGGACAGCCACCAAGGTGGTGGATCTGACCTTGGACCTGGTTCTCATTTCATCCCCACAGGACAACCTCTTCCAGAATTTGTGCAAGGTGCACAGGCGTTCTCCAGGCAGGGTTGGGGAAAGGTGGTATTTGCAGGAAGCTCTGTGATTGAGTGGGGTTGGAGGACAGTTTCACTCCCCCTGAGGCAGGGAGAGAAGTTGGAGTTCATGTTAGGAGGAGACCCCTAGCCCAGGCAGGGGAGGGCCTACCCGTATGCCCCCTTAAGCGCCAGTCCGCCAGTATCTGTATTCTCAGATCTTTCAGTCATTGGGGCAGGAAGCTTATTTGTTCCATTCTCCAGATGAGAACAATCAAGGCTTCAAGAGTTTTATCTGACACTGCTGCTGAGCCAGAGGCTATAGAGCTCTCCTGGTCACCTTTACCCCACCCCTCACCTCCAGCTGTCCCTGCAGTTCCCTCCCCAGCCCTGGTCGTGTGGCTGGCCGCAGCACTGGACTTCGGATGTATAACATGAGGCATCAGGGTACAGTCACAGACTCACTGTGCCTAATACTTCTGCACTTTGCGGGACGGGACATAGGTTAGAGAGGGTCAGGACTTGGCAGCTCTGCTCTTCATTTGTCCCTGGCTCCTCTCATGTCTGGCCATTTGGTTCCAGCTCTTGAATTATCTGCCCTGCCTACCTGGAAGCTGCTGGCTTCAGGCCGGACAGTCCCTCCTGCCTGGGCACCTCCCTGCTGCAGCGGTCACTGGCAAACACCACCGGGGCTATGCTGTCTGCCCTGGCTGGGCTCCTGGGTGGTCAGGAGGCTCTTGGGAAGCCCTCTTCACTCCCACTCTTGGGACTCTGCAGCTCCTTTCCGGAATGGCTTCCTGATGAGGTAATGCAACTTGCAGACGGGAGGAGCTGCTGGAGAATGGCAGGCGGTCAGTGGCCGCCTTGCCTGGGCGACCTGCCCAGAGCTCAAAATGAGCCCTATTTTGTGGCTGAAAGGAAAACCAGGCCCAAGACCCCAGACCTTCATCCACTTCTCATCCTTGAGCTGGGATCATCCTGGGCTGAGCCTGCAGCCTCACGGTTTTCCTCAGAACCTCTGCCCTGCACACACAGCAGCTGCTGAACACATGGGGAAACCGAGGCCTGATGTGGGGAGGGCGCCACGCTCGAAGTCCCAGCAAGAGTCCACAGCTGCTCCCACCTGACTCTGCGGGCCAAGGAAAGCCTCCTGGCGGTGCCACGCTCTCAGGTCCGGGAGTAGTAGGGGACTTGGCTCTACCTCCCAGACTTCATTCTCCCAGCACTCAGGCCGAACCTAAGGCTGACCCTTATCCTCTGTGTGGGAGCGGGGGGGGGGATGCTGGCCCAGAGGACAACTGCTGGGTTTTCCTCCCTTCATCCTGGGGGTGGGGGAGAAACTGCAGAGATACACTGTACTGGGAAAGTCCTGAGGAGGCCTGCTCCCTCACCCACTATCACCCCATGGCGGCCAGGCCTGCGTTGGTGATGAGGTCCCAGATACCCACACAGCCCAGAAGCACCCGCACCTCAGGCCTCTGCCTTCTGAGACTGGTGGCCACGGTGCCTGGCACCTGGGGCTGGCACAGGAAGACCTTCAAGGCTAGACAACAGCTTTCTTCCCCAGCCCTGCAGGACCCACGTCCTGCAGGATTCCAGCCCTTGGGATTAGGGCACAGGCTGGGAGGTGATTCTGTGAAGCAGGCAGGCCCACTGTCTGCAGGCCCAGCTGGTCCTGTCCCCGACTTAAATTTATTGTGCAATGTCATCCAAGCCCCCCTGCCCTGGCTGCATCTCAATTTCCCATCTGCAGACAGGGGGAGGGCAGGAGAGGCCTCAATTGGACCCCAGAGCTCCCCAGGTCTGACGGCCCAGACCTGCAGCTGTGTGGGCGCAGCCTCTCTGGGCAGGAAGTTAATTTCCGCGTTGGAGGCAATGCCTTAAGCAGGCCCAGAGCTCTCTGCATGTTCAGATGAGGGCTGGGCTGGTGAAGTCATGTGGGAGGTAGCAGCAGAGCCAGGATCCGAGCCAGGATTTCTCTGCTGGCCTGGAGTGACCTTGCTCAGTCTTCTTTGCTCACTCCAACCCCCCATCCCCCTGCGCACAAAGCCCTAGCTCTACAAGGGAAGAAGACAAGTCGCCTTGGAAGGTGGGCCTGCTCCCTCTTCTGCCCCCTAGTGGCTATGAGGACACATGGCAGTTCAGTCAGGGCTTTGGACACTGCGGGGGGGGGGGGCGCATCATCCACCCAGTGTCACCCTTGTGGCCACCATCATCCCGCACACAGAGTCAGACACCTATAGAGTCACAAGAATACACGGAGCCACAAGAACTCACAGTGCTGGGAACCTACAGGGTCACTGACAGAACCACAGCCATCTACAGGACCTTGGGCAGCCACAAGGTGGGCACCCATAGGGCTAGGGTGGCGTCTCCAGGAGCTCTGGTTGTGAGTGACACCCCCCCACACACACACAGGAGGAGTGTGCAGTATGGGTCAGAAGCGGGTATGGCCTGCAGAAGTGACACAGCGTTGAGCGATGGGTATGGCCCGCAGAAGTCACACAGCGTCGAGCGATGTGCTTCAGGCTGTAGCACTGGGGTTCGGACAGAGAAGCCCAAGGCTCCTGTCTTTTAGTTCATAACAGTGATGGTGACGTGAAGGGCTCAGCTTACTGGATCTTCCCAGTGTCTGGGGACAGATACGATGCTGGGGCGGAGCAGCATGACGCCTCCAATATCACCATCAGGGTTAGGGTGGGCTGGTCAGTCTTTAGGATGTGCCAGAGAGCTACAGAGAGCTCACTGGTTAAGAGAATCTCTTCCAGAGGACCTGGGTTCAATCCCCAGCACTCCCATGGGCTCCAATCCCAGGAGATCTGACTCCCTCTTCTGACTTCTACGGGCATGCAAACCTCTACACACATGCAAACAAAACATCAACACACATAAAACAGTTCCGTAGGACCAGTCAGGAGCTTGTCCAGAGTGCCCCCCTCCAGGAGCCTTCTCCTTCCACTCCCCAACCCCAGAATCCCGTCTGGGCCCTATGGCCGAACTTCTTCCCCATCCCTGACCCTTACCAGGAACCTGGATCAGGGAATAACAGGGTCCCACAGAATGTCATCACATTAGAATTAGGAAGGTCACTCATCATCCATAGGGACCAAGTATCAGTTGCACTGGAAGGTAAACTGAGGATGCAACAGAGGACCTGGCAAGGCCCAGGACTAGCCAGACACAGACCTCACCAGTCCAGAGTCTGTGGCACTGAATCCTCAGGGGGAGGATTGGGACCACCACCAGTCTGGGACATCACCAGGCCCCCAACCTTGGAGGCAGGGGAGGACCGGCCCTATCGTACTGGTCTGACTGATGAGACAGGACTAGGCTGGTAGAAGGAGAGGACTGGGGTGGAGGTCCAGAGCTTTCCATGCACAGGTACAGAAGACCTGTTTCTGAGGGCCCATAGAACAGTGAATTTTTATGTCACTCCCCTGTCTGATGTCCCCTCTGAAAATACTTGAGGAGTATGTCATGAGGCGGGTCTATGAGGAAAGCCATGACCCCAAGATGCTCTGGCACAGATAGACAGCATGGTATGGCCAGTAGAAGGAATAGGCTACATGACTGGTGGCCCAATGGCCTTGTAGATTATCCAGTGTGTACCAGGGCAAGGTGCACAGTGATGAGGAAAACTGTCAACTCCTCTCCAGGTCTCTGCCCATGTAAGCTGTGTGCCAATGAGCAGCAGTCCCAACTTCTATGTCCTTCATTACTATAGTCCTTGCTTCCTAGATGACAATGGATTAACACACACAGGGAAAGGGCGGGGGATAGTCTAGCGATTCTAGAAGCTATTGTCATTGATGTTGACATTACCGGTGAGGATAGGGAGTCAAGGTGAACGAGATATGGCCCAAGCTCTTGGAGGTGACTGAGCTGAGGAGTGGACATATCACCTCCTGGGAAACCTGGTATAAGAAGTGACTCACACCAGTAGCTTTGGCGATAGAGTCCCTAGGCCTCCATGGCATTACCAGTGAGGATAGGAGATGGAAGGGGGCTCTCTCCAGTGGAGCACACCAGGGCACTAGCATGGGCTATATCGGGCAGGAGAGGCACTCAGTAGTCTGAGAGTTGGTGGCTGAGAGGGACCATATATCTGTGAGCTTTGGTCCATGGACCTGGTGCAGATAGATGTCTGGGCTCTGGACAGCATGTGGAGTATGTATTACTGTGCCCTGACCGCCCACCAGAACAGGTGCTACCTAGCTTGTCAGAGGTCCTGAGATGCTAGATGCAATTCCAAAATCCCAGAAGTCATTGTTTGGGGGTTAAATTAAATCTCATAATTCTAAGATGATGACTGGGACCCCTTAAGGGGGCATCTTTGTGATGCAGATCCTTGAGCACAAAGAATCAGTATCCTTGTGTTCTACAAATTGAAAGGAGTGAATAGGGAGGACTTTACCTATCTTGGAGAGCTGGTTCATTCACCTCCTACCAAGTCGGGTAATGCCTGCTACTGGGTAGCCCACGGCCTGGCTGCCCCTACCCTGGCTCCTTCCCCAGGCTCCACATTTCCACTTGGTCATCAGTGGAGAGACAATTGTTTGTTTGAGACAGGGTTTGTCCTCGTTTGCTTCTCTGTTGTGATAAAACAGTGGCAAAAATGACTCCAGGAGGAAAGAGTTTGGGTCATCTTCAAGGTCACACTGCATCACTGAGGGAAAGTCAGGGCAGGCGCTTAGGGCAGAAACTGAAACACAGACCACGGAGGAAGGCTGCTTACTGGCTCACTCCTCGTGACTTGTTCAACCTGCTTTCTTATGTAAATCAGGACCACCTGCCCAGGGATGGCACCACCAATAGTGGGCTGGGCTGTCCCACACCAATCGTGCATCAAGAAAATGCCCCAGACTTCTCTACAGTCCAACCCAATGGAGGCAGTTCCTCAACTGAGATCCCTTCTTTCCAGTGTGCCAGTGTCACAAAAACTAACCAGCACAAGGCCTCAGGATGGACCCCACGCTGCCCTCAAACTTGGAATTCTCCTGCTGTGGCCTCCACACTTGGTGAGGAATATTCTTTTTCATTTTTGTGATTTTTAAATTTTATTTTGTGTGCATGAGAGTTTTGCCTAGATGCATGTATGTGCACCATGCTCGTGCCTGGTGCCTGCAGAGGTCAGAAGAGGCCATCAGATCCCCTGGAATTGGAGTTATAGGAAGTTGTGAGCCACTATGTGGTCTGGGAACCAAATTTGGATCCTCTGCCAGAGTAACGGGTGCTGTTAACCAGTGAGCTGTTTCTCCAACCCATTTATTATTATTAGTTTTTTGTTTAGTTGTTGTTGTTGTTGTTAGAGATAGGGTTTCTCTTTGTAGGCCTGACTGTCCCAGAACTCGCTCTGTAGACCAGGCTGGCCTTGAACTCACAGAGATCTGCCCGCCTCTGCCTGCTGAGTGCTGGGATTAAAGGCATGCACCACCACCACCTGACTTCCATTTATTATTTTTTTAAATAAACATTTTGAGTGTTGTCCTTCTTTGCTTTCATTTTTTATGTGTGTGAGTATTTTGCCAGCATGCATGCCTGGTTCCTAGGGAGGCCAGAAGAGGGTGTTGGAACTTTTGGGATTGAAGTACAGGGATTTGTGAGCTACCATGTGGGTGCTGAGAGCTGAACCTAGCTCCTCTGGAAGAGCAGCAAATGGTCTTACTGCAGAGCTACCCTCCAGCCCAAGTGTTCTTAAATTATAAAAGGCCCATTCTCAGGCACCGGAGCGGCCAGGCCTTCACGGAACTTCTGGACTCCATCAGCCTGGTCCTTCACTGCTGGCAACTGCCCTGTGTGTTCTCTGGACAAAGATGGGTGTTCTCATCTCATTCTACAACTGGAAATACTGAGGGACAGGGGGACTGTCTCAAGGCAGCAATATTGGGGCCAAGTCTGAATGGACCATAAGGGCATCTAGCCCCTCAGCCGTGTGTCAAGTTGAGACTCTGGCTGTGGGACCTCGGAGCGGAACTGGGAAATCAGGGGGAGGGGCTGTCATCCTCACAGAGGGACATGGTCGCCCTTGGCCTTGTGTGGCCTCCAGTCCAGTGGGGCAGCCAGACAGCAGGGTGCCGGGAAACAAGGCTGACACTGTTTGTTCAGCTGCTGGGCTGGCGCCGTCGCCCTAACCAGGACCTGGTCTCTCTGGAGTTAACACACGCACCCCTGTCCTCACAGAGCCTGTTCAGCAGTGACTGCTCCTGAGCAGACAGCATTTTCTACAGAAGTCATCCCGGGCAAGACAGCGCACAGCTGTAGATGAGACTGTGCTGGGGACCTGGGGTAGGGGGGATGGAGAGGCTGGGGTGCTAACTAAGAGAGTCAGGCATTGGCCAAGTGCAGCAGCCTTTAGTAGAGGAACCTTGAGCAGCTAACCTATCCTACTGGCAAGGACTAAGCAAAATTCCATATACAGAGGCCTGGGGACTGCCAGGGTCAGTCTTTGGGAGCCTCCTGAGTGGGTGAAATGGACCTGGAAATCCCAGAGAGGCAGTTGCCAGGTCCCTGAAGAAGCCAGCCTGGTCACTAGGATGACCCTCACCCAGGAGAACAGGCATCAAGGTTATTCTTCACAGAAGCCAGAGGGCACACCACCAAAGCCACACCAGGGGGATCTACTCTGCCAATCACTATTCATCTTCTAAGCCCCTTCCCCCAGGTAGGGGCTATGGCAGCTCCACGGTCCCACAGAGGTGCCACGTGGGTCAGGGCTGGGCTGGGGGAACGTTTGGATTCAGTTTGGGACTGTGGGAATCCAGCTCATGTGTAGTCACCGCTCTGGGGCCACAAGCTCACCAGTCCTGAGTAAGAACGCTCCCAGACTCCAGCCCTGGACACCTGAAGCTGAGTCCCCCCGCCCCCAGCCAGGAGGGCTGGGGAGTTCTGCTGCAACCCTAGGGGTCATAAGTGTTGGAAGTGTCACTGTTGTGGTAAAGTGCTTGACACACGCTACAACCTAGGTAAAAAGTCGGGCACAGTGGCCAGAGCCTGTAACCCCAGCAGTGGAGAGGTGGAGGCAGAAGGATCCTTGGGGCTTGCTGGCCAGCCACCCTTGCCTACTTGGAGAGCTCCAGGCTAATGAGAACTCTTGCTCAAGTGAGGGGAATAGTTCCTGAGGAATGACATCTAAGACTGACCGTTAGCCTCTACACGCACACACATACATATGCACCTGGACATATATGAACTTGCCTGTAGTCACACACGCGGGCGCGCGCGCGCGCACACACACACACACACACACACACAAACTGGCTGTTGTAAGGCTGTTCAGGGGATCCCTCTTACATGGCAGGCTCAGTACCTGAAGCAGACCCCAGGGTACAGACTGGTGCCAGGTATCTTGGCCACTATTGAGATATTGAGAGATGTGATTACTGTGAGCTGAGCTTCAGTGAGTACAGTGGGCAGACTGGATGCCTAACTTGTGTGCCACGCTCCAGGCAGAGCCCAGAGCCTTAGCTTTAACCCTGCCAGTGACCTGGTCCCTGGCCTGCACGGGGCTATCTCCTGCTAAGGGAGAAAGGAGCAAGGGCATCAGGAGGAAGGGCGGGGTGGAATGGCATCCTTTGTCGGCAGCAGTGGGAGAGGCCTGAGCCCTTGGCTCTTCCAGCACTGTTAGGACCACTGCACAGGCGGGGACAGCCATCCTGAGTGAAGCCTCATGCGTCAGCTGCCTGGACCACAGCGGGGCTGGGGGACACAGAGGTGGTGGTGGTACCTGGACAGAGGGATAAGTTTCCCAGCATAAGCTCAGGAGACATCTGGTTGACGTTGTGGAGGTGACAAAGATGTGATCCAGGGCCTCACATTCCTGTCACAGGGTCAGAGGAGCAATCCACGGCCAGGATGTGGGAACAGACGACACGGCCATTCTCTGCAGAGTTTGCTGCCTCCCCATCACCCCATCTGTCGGCTGGAAGAGCAGCAGCGGAAGCCTCAGTCCTCAAGCAGGTGCCCAGGGGGTGTGGGGATAGAAAAGGCCCTGTGGCGGGCATGGGCTGAGGGCCTGGCAAGTCTGATTTGGGGTTTTGCCCCAGGCCAGCCCCATCAGCTCAGCACGAAAGGGCTTGCTAGACCAGTGGCCCTCAACCTTCCTAATGCCCTTTAACACAGTTCCTCATGCTGTGGTGACCCCCAACCATAAAATTATTCTTACTGATACTTCATAGCTTGCTACTTTGATGAATCATAATGTAAATATTTTTGGAGATAGAGGCTTGCCAAAGGGGTGGAGACCCACAGGTTGAGAACTGCTGCCCTAGAGGAACAGAAAGCATAGGCAGACAGACAGATGATAGATAGATAGATGATAGATAGATAGATAGATAGATAGATAGATAGGTAGGTAGAGATGAACAGACATATAGATGACAAAGATAGAGAGAGAGAGGAGAGAAAGAGAGAGAGAGAGAGAGAGAGAGAGAGGAAGGGGCTCTCCCGGGTCTCCATACAGTTAATGGTTGCAGGGACAGGGAAAGAGACATTTTCTTCCGTGATGTAGCCGCTGCTGAGATGCTTATGCGTCTGTAAACAACCCCAATGAAACTCACTGATTTTCACTAAAGAAAGAAAGTAAAAGCAGAGGGACGCTAGCTGAGAAGAGAAAGAGGCCCAGTGGGCATGGAAGCAGAGAGGGTAACAGGAGGTGAGTATCATCCAGACATAGTATATACATGTATGAAGACGTCAAAACGAACCCCATTATTATTATAATTAGCATGTGCTAATAAACTTTTTTAGAAAGAGATTTATTGGACTGGCTTACATTAGACAGGCTGGGTAGTCCAATAGTGGCCTCCTGCACTCGGACAAGCAGAGAACTCAGTCCCGGCAGCAGAGCGCCCGAGCAGACCCCACCCAAGGCTGAAAGCTTGGGCCCTCCCAGGAGGTGGAGGGTGGAGCCCAGGTGAAGGGCTGAGGGGGCGGGATCCTGGTGGCAGCAGGTGACAGCAGTGATTCATCAACTCCCCGGGACAGAAAGAGACCATCGACTCAACCACCTTCTTCACCTAAGCCCTTTCCTAGCTTGAAGGTCCTGCTCCTGTTCACAGAAGGGCATCCCCCCGCCCCTGCCACACACACACACACACACACACACACACTCCTGAATGTCAATCCTCTCTCAAAGGGCTCCACAGATACACAGGTGTAATTCACAAGTCTTAGGCCAGTCTCCCAGCTCTTTTTTTTTTAATGAGTGTTTGCCTACATGTGTGTATATGTAGCACATGCATCCTGTGCCCAAAGAGGCCAGAAGGGGGTGTTGCATCCCTGGGCACTAGAGTTACAGATGGTTGTGAGCTGCTATGTGGGTGCTGGGAACCAAACCCTGGTCCTCAGCAAGTGCTTTTAACCCTGAGGAATTGCTCCAGCCCCCTAGGGATTTCTTATCCCAGACTGGTTGACAACCAGAGAAACCGTCACACAAAGGGCTTCATGTCACCCTTGTGATGTTCCAACTCCTTGGCACCTTCCTCAAGATGGAGGTTTCAGGACCAAAACCTTGTGAATAGAAACCCATAAGCCACCACCTCCCCCTTTGCCTTAGCTGCTAAAGTTCTTTGAGTAAAACCTGTGAGCAATTTGGCCAGCATCCTTGCCTCTTTCCCTGACTTATGTGTTGTTTGTTTGTTTTGTTTTGCTTTGTTCTATTGGTTTGTTTTTCTCTGTAGCTTTTGGAGCCTGTCCCGGAACTTGCTCTGTAGACCAGGCTGGTCTCAAACTCACAGAGATCCGAGTGGTGGGATTAAAGGTGTGCGCCACCAACGCCAGGCATGATTTGTTTTAAATACTCATCCTGTGGCATCTTTTCTTTGCTACATCCAAACCATTCTTGAGCCAAGTAAGCCTGCATCCTTCCGATGGGATTGTCTATCCTTCCAACTTTTCCATGCCTTCTCCCTTACAGGTGCTGTAGAATTCCACCACCTTCCAGAAGTGGATTGCACGTGCCTGGGGAACACTAAGATCCACACTCAGAGTGCCTACTCATCTTGGAGTCAGGGGCATCTGTAGGCAAACTGTCTTGTGAGGCTGAGGGAACAGAGGAAGCTCACATGGAAAAGACTTGTTCCCACAGGCCTCACATGGCAGGGACAGCATTTCTGTAATTTCTCTCTGTGACTCTTTCTCTGATGTGAGTGGGTGTGCACATGCATGCGTGGGCACACGTATGTAGAAGCCTGGGTTGATGCCAACATTAGGCATCTTCCTCTGTCACTTTTCTCTGTCTTTTCTGAGACAAATTCTCACGGATTTGGCTAGCCTAATTCGCTTTGTTTAAACAGGGTCTCATGGAGCCCAGGATGACCTCAAACTTGCTACATAGTTGTGGATGTATAGTGATATATTTTTATGATCTATTAAAGCTTGCCTGAGGATTAAAAAAAGCAAAGTCAGCCACAGGCCATAGAAGCCAGGCACACTCCTTTAATCCCAGCAGCCAGAATCTAGGAGGTGGTAGTACACACCTTTAATCCTAGGACTCAGGATTAAGAGGTAGATGGATCTCTGTGAGTCCAAGGCCACCCAGGTTTACACAAGAGTGAATCAGTCTAAAAGAGATTTATAACTCACACCTTAATACCAACATTAGAGAAGTATATAAGACAGAAGCAAGGTCTCAGAGATGCATTCATTCTCCAGCCACTCTGACGAGAGATTACAGTCTGAGGCTTAGTGGATCTTGTGGAGACAGGATTAGCCCATTCAGTCTGAGCTAGAGACAAGAAACCAGTGGCAGCTACTTTGCTTGAAGCATGAACCCCGGTATCAGTCTGTGGGTTATTTATTTTTCGTGTTACATGGATGGCTTTGGACTCAGGGTTATCCAGTCTCCATCACTCTAGTGTGGAGATTACAGATGCACACCACTGTGCAGGGCTGAGCCTGCTCGTTGGTGGTTATGCCATCTTCCTAGCAACCTGGATCCTCATTTTCGGTGGCGATGACCATAAGTATGTGACCCAGAGCATCCTGGCCCCTTAACAGGCATGGTGACTAAATTGAGACCCACCATTTTTCTTTATAGTTGTCCACACAGGAAGTGTTCTTTAAAGCTTTGGTCCATGGGACTGGGGGGGGCGAGGATGAGAGGCAGGGACCTGACTCAGGGCAGGAGTCATGGGCTAAGGAGACCTGTAAGTTCCCAGGCTGGACCTCTACATCCTACCATCCTCACCCCAGGGCAGAGTGTCCAAATTCCCATGGGGCCAGTGGCTGAACCATGATATGGAGCTGGCCAGGACTGGAGTCATTTTTCCTTAGATTAGGACTTGGCTGCTTTCCTTGGCCTTCTCTATTGTGTTCGGCTGAGAAGTGACCAAAATCCTCTGATTGGTTATTGTCAGGTTGGGTGATGGGATGGTACCCAGGGCACTGGGCAAGTGAGTAAATGGAAGGACAGGACAGTGACCAGCCCCCTATCCCCACTTCCAGCTTCCACATCCCAGACCCCATGCGTGGCTGACCGACTAGGGAGGGCTCAGGGCTCAGGCTACTTCTGCAACCCTGCAGCCTCCCAGTCCATGGTTCCCGCAGGCCCCACCCGCCCTGGGCAGCAGCTGCTTCCGGCCAGACAAGCAGACAATGTGCTGGCGGGTGGCCCAGGGCCAGGACCATCCATCCCCCAGCAGCACAGGAAGACGGAGCACAGAAGAGGAGCCACTGTGTCCCCGAGTGAACCCACTGCCCAGGCACTGTGATTTAGAACTTCAGATTCCAGTAGGAGGAGCCTCAAGGGTGAAGCAAACTGATTCCTCCAGCCTTGAACCCAGCAGGACCCTGGAACAGTGCCTGGGAAGGGAGTAGAGGGGTTCAGGAATCTCGGCCTTGTCTTTCATCTCTTTTGGTAGCTCAGCCTCAGACTGTGCAAGCTTTCCCTACCACAGGGCCCTTGCATGGCCATGCCCTCTGTACTTCATCTGTTGAGATTGCCCCATCCAGATCTCCTGTGGTCCACATTGTTCTCCTCCCTGCTTGAGTCCCTTCTGTCCAGGCATTCTTGTTCAAGTGCTGTCTGTCCCTGCCCACCTGCCTGGTACAGGCACTTTCTGAGCCCACATAGCACATCTCACAGTGCTTGCTTATTTGTTGGTCTCCTTGTCCTTCAGAAACATCTGGAAGGACAGGACCTGCTCAGGTAGGTCTTAGCATAAAACCAATGTACTTAGTAGGTCCTTACAGAGGGCTGACAGATTGCTGAATAAGTGGGTTCCAGCAGCTTCCAGGATGTGCTGGACTCTCCCTGCCAGGCTTGCCCTGCCCAGTGGGGTCCATCTCTGCCATTTTCGCCCTGGCCTCTTAGATGTGAGGATGACTGCAAGGTCTTCCCTCAAACCCCAGCTATGAACTCTCAAGGAAAGAATGCACCCCGCCGGGCGTTGGTGGCGCACGTCTTTAATCCCAGCACTCGGGAGGCAGAGGCAGGCGGATCTCTGTGAGTTCGAGGCCAGGCTGGACCGACAGCCTCCAAAACAGAGAAATCCTGTCTCGTAAAACCAAAAAAAAAAAAAAAAAAAAAAGAATGCACCCCACTTGCCTAGCCTTACAAAGGAGAGAAGCACAGTAAGATACCACTTCCCACATACTTCGATGTTATAATAACAATAGCAACGATATGACAATAATAAAACACAATAGAAAGAAAGGAAGCTAGCAGGGGAAAAGGCAGAGAACGACACTCACATATGACTGCAAGACTGTGAAATGGCCACATCGGTAAGCCCCTCAGAAAGGTCAGCATGGAGCACTACTATGTAGCCAGCCAGCCCACTTCCAGACCTGAGTCCTGGAGAAGTGACGGTAGGGGCAGGAACAGGCTCTTGAGTACCAGGCGCACAGCAGCCAAAAGGGCCTGGGTGACCAGAAACAAATGAATGGATGGCCATGCTACACAGTTCCTAGGTAGTCACCCCGGGGGCTGGGTTAGCCGCTGCTGTTCCCATTCTTGCTCCCTGAACCTCAGGGGTGGTGCCATATCTTTGACACCCCCTCAGCTCCCTATGACTGTAGCTTCAAATACCTTACCATGGGGGTCCAGCCCTATTCCTGAAATCACATCACTGCTTGGGTCTTTGCAGGTTGGCACCAACCTGGTCCCTTTGCGTTGTTCCTAGAGCCCTCAGGTAGGCACAATGACAGAGAGGCAAAGGCCTTGATGGTCACATGGCCAGGTCCTCAAGAGCCCAGAATCTGCAATCTTTCCTGTGTCTAAGGCGTGTGGGTTCCAGATTCACAGCCTGCCAGGACCCAGTGTGCCTGTTCCCGGCTGCAGAGTGCCCTCTGGTGGAGTTACTGAGAGTTGTCAGTTCATAGACCAGGAATAGAGAACTCAGCAGATTCATGAAGTTCAAGGACATTTGTAGGGTCACAGGGCAGAGGCTGACCAGGAGCTAGAACTGCCTGAATCACCCAATCCTCTCCCTGACGTCCATGGAAAATGGGTCCAAGTTGTGGGTCTTTCCCAGGGACTATGGTGTGGTGAGGACAGAACCAGCTTGCAAACTGGACTCCACAGAAGACACTGCTGTAGAGAGAAGCCTTTTCCTTGCCAGCCGCTTTGGTTTATCCCCCGCCAGTCGCCTGGGCTCTGCCACGTTGTAGTCCCCAAATAACACACAAGATGCTGTGGCAAAAATATTTTCTCCTCTTTTAAGTTTTCTTTTTAAGATTTATTTATTTATGTGTGCAGTGTTCTGTCTGATTGTATCCCTGCATGACAGAAGAGGGCACCAGATCTCATTACAGATGGGTGTGAGCCATCATGTGGTTGCTGGGAATTGAACTCAGGACCTCTGGAAGACCTGTTAGTCTTCTTATCTACTGAGCCATCTCTCCAGCCCTTAAATTGTTTTTTATCAAGTATTTTGTCACGCAGGTGAGAAAAGTGACTAATAAACTATCATTACTCTCACCATCACATGCCGTCATCACCACATATCGTCACCATGACCTGTCATCACGCATCACACATCACCATCAACGCACATCGCCACCACCACCACCATCATACATCATCACACATTACCACCGGCACTGTCATCCATCATCTCTATCACCATGACCACCACTATCATCACCTCCACCATAACCATCATTAGTCAAGCTTCTCTCAAAGAGCAAAACCAGTAAAACATGCATTGAATATAAAAGACAGTTACTGGATTGACTTTCAAGAGCAAGCCTGGATGATGGTTCACCAATGGCTTTCTGCATTCAGGAGAACCAGAAAACCCAGTAGCCGCTCAGCCAGAGAAGCCGGGAGCTTCAGAACAAGAGGAGCCAATGATCCAGCCCCAGACCAAGACTGCAGATCTGGAAGTTCCCTGGAGTCAATGATCCATCTGTACTGAAAAACTGAAGAAGCCAGAGTCTGATGTCATGGGTAACAGCAGCCACGAGAAACACCCTCACCTGAGACAGATGCACTAATCGGCTTCCTCGTTTCCTGTTTTTATTCCTTCCAGGCTCCTAGCCTGTAAGAAGGCACTGCCTACATTCAGGGCATGTGTATACCCCTCAATTTCTGCTCCACATATTACTCATCTCTGTAAACACCCAGGATGGTGCTTTGCTCATCAAGTATTCCAGTTTCATCTCTGTTGCTGTGACAAAAGCAACTTATAGGAAAAATGCATTACAATTCCAGGTCATGGTTCGTCATTGCAAGGGAGTCAAGGGAGAAGGACCCCGAAGCAGCTGGTCACTTCACACTCGCAGGTAAGGGCAGAGTGAAGGAGCGTGTGCGCAGGTTCCCCTCTACACTTACACGGGCCAGATCCCTTGCCTAAGGGGTGGTGCTACCCACAGTGGGCTGAATCTCCCACATGCAGTTAACAAGTCCTCCACAGGCATATCTGTAGACTAGTCTGATCTAAATGATCCCGAATTGAGACTCTCTTCCAAGGGATCCTAGGATGTGTCAAATTGACATCATCACACCCAAGTCACCTCCCAGTCAAGTTACTCACCGATATTAATCACCAAAGTCACCATCGCCTTCACAATCCACCTCACCTCCACCATCTCTGTCACCACCACCAATGTCATCCTATGATCACCACCGCCAGAGGCCAGCAGTAGGCAGTGCACAGCACCCTAGCCAGGAAGCCATGCTATATCTTTCTGACTCAATATGAGACTCGAGCAAGGTATTGTATATATGGCCACCATCCCTAAGGCTCCCTGGGAACTTCAGAAGGGCTAAGACAGGAGGGAGGTGGGGTGCAGAGATAAGGGCAGACCATCAAAGGCTGCTTTGGTGGGGTTCTCAGGGAGGCACCTCCAGCTCTGTGACAGGTGCTCTAGACAATGTTCTAAGAAACAAAGAATAAAAGA